TTTGAGACACATCCATTAGAGAATTTTAAGTGGGCTTTTATCTTTCAAATTTTTAATTTTACATAACAAAATTTTCAATTATTCATTATAAATTATTAAAATTTATAAACAAGAAATTAATTTATTATTGAACTATTGTTTTATTAACATATTTAGATACATTGAATTGTCACTCGAATGTTATTCGACAAATGAAACTCAACCCGTCTATTAACAAAATCCATTTTTACCAAGTGGTATGCTCATGTGATCAATTATATTAATAAAACAATAATTTAATGACATATATATAACAAATTTTATAAACTCTTTTTAATACATTAATGAGAATTTTATATAACAAATTTTAATGTCTATGACTCTATGGATGGACTTAATTGAAATTTAGTGATAAAATTGAGAATTAGGGATTGTTTGATATATTTATCTACCCCTTATTCGTATCCATGTTTAGGAAACGTAATTATGAGTAAAAACTACCGTAATTTTGTTATTATTTTTTAATATATACCCTATTTAAACTATTGAAATTTGGATTTAAAAATCCGGATTTAAACTTTGTATCGATTTTTTTGTTGAGTACAATAGATGTGGTGCAGAGATTTCATCCTTCAACTTTTGTTTCTTACTTCGACTTTGGTCCCAAAAATTTACAAACTTAGATTTCATCCTTCAACTTTTGTTTCTTACTTCGACTTTGGTCCCAAAAATTTACAAAAGTTTGCCTTATAAAAGACTTTGTTTTCAATTTTTTTGTTGTTAAAAATATAAAATTATAGTTTAAGTTCTTCAACTTTAGGATTTGTGTCTAATATAAAATATTGAGCTTTAAAAAGTATCTACGAGAGTCTTTGAAGTTTCAATTTTGTGTTGAATAGTACTTGAACTTTTAAATGTGCTTATTTTAGGGGCTTAACTTTCAATTTTGTGTACCATAAATTCTTGAACTTTCAATTTTTTTGTCTAATAGTCATCTATTGATCCACTATTCAAAATTATCAAAATCCACGAAATTTATTAGAAAGAAAATTGAAAATTTTTCGATACTATTGACGCAAATTTCAATTTCATGACTAATAGATGTACTGATTTTAAAAACGGTCAACTAGGTTACAGACCTATTAGACAAACAAGATTAGAAGTTTATGGACATATTAGACATTTTTCAAGTTTAAAGACATTAGACACGAATTTTAAAATTTAGGGATCTATGAGACATTAGTAAAGTTTGCGGACTCCCCAGTAAAGTTCATAGACTTAATATTAGACATGAAACCTGAAAGTTTAGAAACTACGACCCTATTTACTTAGTAGAAATTAAAATGATAAAAGATCCGAATAAAATCAATCGAAATGAGAATTGTGACACATGATTCTAGACGAGGTGATGGGTTAAGTACACTTAGCCGA